CACACACACACACACACACACACACACACACCTTATCTTCTAGTCGGATCAGTCGAGCTCCAATCGTTGGAAATTCTTTATCTTCCCCCTTTCCTGGCGATATTAAAAAAGACAGAAAACATTTTATATAAATTACACAAACATTTCGAAATACTAATATTTTTGATGACAGTATAGTTACTCTAATATAACTATAAGTAAATATTAAAATAAACTAAAAAAACTTTATGAGTCTTAAAGTCTGAAAAATGGTCTCTAGCAAGTGCCTGTTAAGCAGAGCAGGGATGCACCGATATGAAAATTTTAGCCGATATCGATATCTGATATAATTATTGCTATTATGGCCGATAACCGATATTTACTGATATTACACAAACACACAAATTATATTATACATATACACACAAACACGCTTGGGTCTTTTTTTGATACCGCAAATAAACAACCAGACCTCTGACACGACTCTGCTTCAGTTATTCCTGGCTGTGCAGCGTCATTATGAATAATCATGATCAAAAAGATGCCACTCAACCAACCGTCTCCTCTCCCAAAACACAAACACAAAAATAACTCGACATGGGTTTTTATGATGTAAAAACAAGTGTGCATTGCCATGTAGCATGTCATTGCAGCATGGCTTTGCCTGCAGCATCGGACTTGTAGAATGAACTTTGACCAAGTTCAAATGTGTTTTCTATACCAGCTTGTGCCTGTCACATCAGCAGGTGTTTGCAATTAAGGTAATTGTGTGACAATATGAAGTTGGAGGAGATTTTTTGCTAAAGTTGCGTTAGCTGGGTTTTAAACCCTGATCTCCCACATGAGAAAGTCCATGACATAGACCATTAGACCAATGGAGCTGTGGCAGAAGGTGGTGGCAGGGGTTGGTTTGTATGTGTGCAGAAAGAGGCCACATTGCCAATACAATTATTGACACAAAAATGCATAATATTACAACAATAGAGCAATGTTAAGACAATATTGAAGTAAAACATCAAAATACAATCATATTAGTATTGTAAACACTGAACTATTGAGATTAAATACAAAAAAACTATGGCGCAGTACCAAGTTGGGTCCATCATGGGGCAGTATTGGACCATTACAAGGCCGCATTGACTCCCATTATATGAATTTTGGAATAAAGTTTAAAGATTAATATTTCAAAAACTACAAATTGTACAGGCACCAGAAGGCATAGCAATCATTTGGCACAGGACCTTTACAGATAGAAATTACAATGGCAGCTGTAGGACAAAGTACGCAGGAGGAGTAGCGTGGCGACGTGGAAGAAGACGGAATAAGTTGAATAATAATAATATTAAAGAGAAACAGGAAAACAATAGTGTGCATTGCATTGGCAATGCACACTGAAAAGTGGGAAATCAATATCGGACATTAATATCAGCCCAGTTTTACATATCGGGCCGATACGATATTCTAAAAAATGACCAATATCGGCCGATACTGATATTAATGCCGATATATCGTGCATCCCTAAAGTAGAGTGAAGTAAGTAAATACTAAACACACTGGGGTATGTAGGATAAATACATACTGTAACACAACGCATCAAATCACAGAATCCCAACATATAAAATTGGTTTCAATATTTGTTTTCATTTATTCAGTTTGACATCTTGCTCATTAAGATTTATTTTCTTGTGTTTTGTTTAACTTTGCACTATTCAATCAGTATAAAGTGATCGTTAAGTCCTGTTAAAACTTTAGTGGCAGTTGAAGGGCCCAGTATCATTTTGAAAGTGACTGAATACTGTATGACGAGCAACAACTTACACAAAAGTGCCATTACTTGTCAAGTTACACAAAATCCCATGCATGCAAATCCAAACAGGAACACCAACATCAGGTACCTTTCTTAATTTCATATCTTTGTAGTTTTGCAGTGCTTGTGCATGTGTGAGTTAAAAACACAGAGGTGGTATGAAGAGTGATAGTTGTCTATCAGATGGAGACTGAAATGTTTTCTGAGTATTTACCTGGCAGAAACATTCCTGGCTTCCCCAGCGTGCCGTCCAGCCTAGAGGAGGGGAAGGATACACATGAGCTTCACTTGGTAAGACAGATTGTATTTGCACCAAATCAAACACCCTGTGTGTGTAAACTGGTGGGTTTGGGATGAGTGTTCAATCAGTGGAGTATCAGTACTTCCACAGTAGAGAAGTTGGCAATATATTAATGAATAACAACATCAGTTACCTTGTATTCATGAAGCCTGGTATCTAATAAAGCCAAAGCAAGTCTGATGTTCACTTTACATCAACCTGTACTACTGAGTCAGCACTACGAGTCAGGGGAAGTCCTTCAGTCACACAGCGGCAATCTTATGGAAGGTAGGCTAATCAATTATCTGTTCAGTGCCAAAACATACTAACTGTTGCCTCATTGTGATTAGATCGCTGCCTAGTAACTTTATTAATATAGAAAGCAGTGCTAAATTTTTAGGATAGAACTAACATAATGGAAATCATTAAAAATAAAAAGTTCAAACATGGACAGTTTATATTTATCACAATAATCTGTCTATATTTTCTATATAATGATGACATCAAGAACTGTAATGCATTAAAAAAGAAAATACAGTGACAAGTTAGTTAGCAAGTCAGCGACTGAAAGTCACACACAAAAAACAAAACAAAAAAATACAGTTCCTTGTGACTGTAAATCTATGACAAAAATGGTGGATAAAGTACCTCAAAATGATGAGTGAAAGTGCAAGTATCTCAACATAAAATTACACTGATAAAGTTAGTCTTCTCTACAAATACGACTTGAGTAAAAGTCTTAAAGTATCTGTAGTTAATGTATTTAAGTATCAAATGTAAACTTATGATGTAAAATGTACTGTAGTTGTAAAAGTAAAAGCAAAAGTGAACAGTAAGAATGTCCAAAATGACAATTATTGAGATGATCTCCCCAAAAGAATGTTGGAATGGTATGGTAAGATAAAACAGATACGATAAGATAAGATAAAAAAGATAAGAAAAGATAAAAAGGATAAGTAAGATTAAAATAAGATATAAGATAAGATAAGATAAGATAAGATAAGATAAGATAAGATAAGATAAGATAAGACAAAAAGATAAGATAAGATAAGATAAGAT